AGAAGGATGTTCCAGAAGGCCAGCTGTGACTAAGCGCTGAATAGAGGCAGCTTCCTTTGAAACATGAGGTCATATCAAGCTGGGCAAATCTAAGAGCTCAAGAAGGCACCGAACCTTCCTGAATGTCGAAATGGTTCAGCTATTTTTAAAACGTTGAGACTTTTATTGATTTGACAGCCGAGATGGGATGAAAGGGGTAGAAAAAGCCTGAAGAACCGTGTAACTTAGCTAACCTTTTCTGTACCTGGAAGGTTTTTGTTCCATGGCAATTGTCTGAGACTGGATTGTGGCCCCGTCCCACTTCGTGTGTCGTCTTCAGTATCTCAGAATGGCTGTCCTTGGAGATGGGGTCTTTATAGAGATAATTAAGTTAAAATGAGGCCATCAAGGTAGCCCATAATCCAATACGATTGGGGCCCTTAGAAGAAGAAATTAGGACACACACACACACACACACACACAGGGAAGACCCTTCGGGGACACAGGGAGAAGTAGTCCATCTACATTAGCCAACCCTGTCAACTCGATCTTGGACTTCCAGAGAGTCCAGCAAACACAGAAAACAAACCTCTGTTTTTGAAGCTACCCAGTTTGTGATGTTTTGTTATAGCAGCCCTAGCAAGCTAATACAACATGGAAATGTCATTTTGCATGAGAAGACTCATTTCTTTTTATACTTCTGTGGAGATGTTCTTCACAAAGTCTGGGTGAGTGCACAATACGCTTCTCTCTTGGTTCAGTTTCGCTATTCCAGAGCTTTCTGGATCTGATCCTCCCCCCACAAGCCTTGTGTATCCCAGACCTCTCTGCTTCTGCCGTTCACCACAAGTGCGGAATGCAGAGATGGTTTTTCAGATACTGGCGCTTAACTCCAAAAGGCACTAAGACAAAGGTCTTTGTCCATCTCCTGTGATCACTGAGGCTCTGAACAGCGCTCTGCTGGCCCCTTGCCATTCTGAAAACCCTTCTCAGTGTTTTGCTGCAGGGAGCCGCGAGGCTGCCTCCCTTGGTGAGGCTGGAGGGGCTGGAGAGAGGAGCGCCGACCCAGGCTTCAGAAGCCTGTGGGGTGGTAGGTCTGGTGCTCAGTGAGGGGCAAGACTGGAGACCTGTGAGCCCCTATCACACCTTCCTCCCTGCTCTGGCCAGGCTGGGGTGTATATTATTGAGCACTGACCATATGCCAGCCTGGAGATGAATTCTCCCTTCATCCTTATGGTGACCTTCCATCGTGGCTATTATTATACCCATTTTACAGAAAAGAACACGAGTTCAGATGAGAACACTGAGGCACAAAGAGGTGACATAACTTCTCCAAGTTTACACACGCTAGCAAGTACCAGAGCCAGAAATTCCACACAGCAAATCTTTATTCAGGACCCACCCCACGTCTGCTGCTATGTTAAGTGTGGGAACTACAAGGATAAGGAAAAACCCAGAGCCTTCTCAACATAAACTGGCTGTCTGGTGAGGGAAAATGGCGCAGAAGAACAATTATTACCCTGATGGGCAAAGTGTTCTTTATTCAGTCATGCCTGTGATCAGGGCACAGAAGGGAGGAGTTGCGAATGCAAGACTGCGAAGTTCCTTAAAGTTTTGAAGGGGTGATCGCAGAGCTGAGTTTGGAAAGCTGGCCAGCCTAGGAAGGGAGCAAGTAGTTTACTGCAAAGGCTAAGAATGGGACCTTAGAGTCGTGCTCCTGGGTTGGATCCAGGTCCAGTACCTAAAAGCAGAATGACCTTGAGCAAGTGTCTCAACTTCTGTCAGCCTCAGTTTTGTCATCTATAAAATGGAAATAACCACCTCATTTTATTTTGAGGATCAAATGAGATCATGCACATTGCCTGAAAAAAAAAGTATGTGCTCAATAAATCATAAAGGATTTCCAAAGAAATGAAACCGAAGGACTCATTATATAAATAGGGGAAAGGCAGGGATGAGGCGAAAGAGGCAGCAGGGTCCAGGACGCAGGAAATCATGATCCGAGCAGAAATCCAGAGTCATACACTCAACCGATTGAGCCACCCAGGAGCCCCTCCTCAGCCTCTTCTGCCCCCAGCTTTCAAAGCTCACATCACACTCATTCACAAACAGCTGTTTCTTCTTTAGAACAAGGACTTCCTTGAGGTGTCAGGGACTAAAGTTCACATTCCTAAGCCCAGTGCCCAATCCATGTAGACACTCCAAAATAAGTTGTTTCATGAAAGAAGACATAGTCAGTGCTTCTCGATGCTCATACCAACAATACAGGACAAAGCCTGTGATGGTGCAGTGTGCACAGTGTTTGGGGACGCCTTCTTAGAAGGTTTCTTAGAAGATATAGGGAACTTTCCACAGAGGTCCTGTTTGGGCTGAGTCTTGAAGGAAAAGCACATCAGGTGGAGAAGGGAGTTTTTTTAAGGCTGAATAATATTCCAGTGTATGTGTGTGTGTATCTCGCATCTTCTTTATCCATTCACCCATCAGTGAACACTTGGGCTGTTTCCACTTGGCTACTGTACATAATGCTGCATTTAACATGCGGGTGCTGATAGCTTTTCGAATTAGTGTTTTCATTTCCTTCAGATAAATACCCAGAAGTGGAATTGCTGGATCATTGGTAGCTCCATTTTTAATTTTTTAATTACTATTTAAAATAATACTATTTTCCATAGTGGCTGTACCAGTTTGCAATCCCACCAACAGAGTACGATGTTTCCCTTTCTTCATATCCTTGCTAAGCTTGCTATCTCTTGTCTTTTTTATAATAGCCATTCTTTTTTTTTTTAGGGGGGAGGGGCAGAAGGAGAGGGAGAATCTTAAGCAGCCTCCACGCCCAGCACGAGCCTGATGCAGGGCTTGATCTCATGACCCTGATCAGGACCTGAGCCAAAATCAAGAGTTGGACGCTTAACCGACTGAACCACCCAGGCTCCCCGATAATAGCCATTCTAACAGGTGTGAGGTGATGTCTCCCTGAGGTTTTGGCTTGCATTTCCCTGATTATGACTGATGTTGAGCACCTTTTCATTGTATGTCCTGTTGGTATTCAGGTCCTTTGCCATTTTTCACTGGATTATTTGTTCTGTTTTGTTTTTTTTGCTATTGCGTTTTAGGAGTTCCCTATATATTTTGGAGATTAACCCCTTACCAGAAATGTGATTTGCAAATCTTTTCTCCCACTCCATAGGCTGCCTTTTCATTTTGTTGATGGTTTCCTTCATCATGGTGCAGAAGCTTTTTAGTTGGATGCAGTTGTACTTGTTTATGTGTTTGCTTTTGTGTTGCCTTTGTGTTTGGTGTATAAATGAACTCTTAGAACTGCTTTTGCCCTTAAGGCATCTGCCAACTCTGCGGGGAGCTGTGGTGAAACTGAGTTGCATTTCTGTTCACTGGCCTCACGGCTGGAGGACAGCACTGTAAGTCCAAGGGACACCACCCCCCTACCCCCAACACACATGCTCAGGGTAAGGTGACACCAGATGTAAATCTATGTTCTTTTGGCACAAGGGGCAAGATCCCTGTGAGACAGTAAACCAAGCCCAGGCGTCCTGAGGAATAGTAGACTCAATTTACACCTCAGAGGTCGTACAAGACAGCTCAAGTAGGAATTTAGCTGAAAGCTGTTCTGGTTTTGATGGTGGCCCAGGCATCTGCAGATGGAAACATAGAAGAGATCCAATTTGTTTTAGCCACCTAACAGATGATTAAGTGCTATGTCTTCATTTGCATTTCCCTAATGCCTAAGGATGCTGAACATTTTATAACCTCTGGTGAAGCGTCTGTTCATATATTTTGCACATTTCCTAATTGGATTATCTGGGGGGTTTTGTTTGCTTGTCTGTTTACTACCGAGTTCTTCATATTTTCTAGATAAGTCCTTCGTCAGATATACGGTTTACAAATATCTTGTCCCAGTCTGTAACTAGTCTTTTCATCCTCTTAATGGGGTCTTCAGCAGAGCAAAAATTTTAATTTTGATAAAGGTTAAATTTAGCAATTTTTTTTTTCTTTTATGGAACCTAGTTTCTGTGTCACGTCTGAGAACTGTTTGTCTAGACCAGGGTTTCTCAAAACTCAATTTTCTCAGTTTTGAGAATGTGAGCTAAAAGCGGACACACAGCAGCTCTGTGTCACCCATTTCTCACTTATCTGTTTCCATGGTGATGACCCTTTGGGCAGACTCTCAGAACTCTTAGAACATTCGCACAGCTGCAGGGGGAGATGTTATTCTAGATGCCCAAAGCAGCGGGTTGAGAAGAGCCAGGCTGTCAGCGTGTTTAAAGGAAACTAAGGAGGGGGCGCCTGGCTGGTTCAGTCAGAAGAGCATAAGACTCTTGATCTCGGGGTTGTGAGTTTGAGCCCCACATTGGGTGTGGAGATTACGTAAAAAAAAAAAAAAAGGTAACATAAAGACTCATGATGCTCATGAATGGTTGAGGTGCCTGGTGCCTGGTTGGGGGCCATGCTCGCTCACATGGCAGGTATGTAAGTAGCTCTGTTTGAGAACTTTGGACCCTAAGACCAAGGGGTCTTTCCTGGGCCAGGACATCTTTGATATGCTCCTGCTGTTTGCACATGGAGAAGGCGTGTCTGTGCTATCCCCGCGGAGAGATTATGAAAGCATGCATTTGACCTCTCCAGCCTTTGCTTATAAACATCTTTTTTCCTGCTGTTCCTGCATTCTATTCTTCGCTCTACTAAATCTTAACCTTGAGTATAACTTTATGTTGGGGTCCTGTGAGTCCTTCCAGTGAATCATCAAACTAGTGTGGGACAGGGGTTGTTTTTTTAAAACGAAGAATTCAGTTTTTCAAATGGTTACAAGACTTCAAAAATCATCTATTTCATATTGAGTGAGTCTGGGTAGTTTGTAGTTTTCAAGGAATTGGTCCTTTTCATCCAAGTTGTTGCAGTCATACGGGTAGAGTGATTTAGTGTTCCCTTATTCTCCTTTTAAGGTCTCTGGAGTTTGTGGGAATGGCCAATATTTTATTCTTTGTGGCTTTTTCTTTTGTTTTCAGAGCATCTTTATGGAAATTGTCTGATGTGACTTCTAACTACGACCCTGTGCGGCAGGCAGGGCAGGCGTATTTATGGGCATTTAGCTGCCAGAGAAACATACCTGCTCAGAGGTGCCTGTTTTAGAACCACATGGACAGAAGATCGCAGAGCTGATATCAGAGCCCAGGGCTCTTGACTCCAAGCTTCTCCGCTGGTAATAAGGTCCCAACTATTCCTCCTACGTAGTTCTGTTGCCTTCTATACCTACCTCTCGGCTCTTTCTTAACTGGTGTTTTTACTCTCTACCTAACCTTCCAGTATCATGCTTTTCCTTGAGTGAATCCTATCTTACAGATTTTCCCCTTGTGTACTCCTGGCCTTCTCACACTTGGCCTCTCTCCTTTCTCTAGGCCTTAACTTTGCCAGATCGTACTTCCTCTTCTTGGAGATGCCCAACATACCAAGGTCTAACCCAGTGGTTTCCAGCAGGGAGAAATTTGGTCCCCCAAGGGACATTTGGCAAGGTCTAGAGACATCTCTGATTGTCACAACTGGTGAGATGCTACCGGCATCTAGTGGAAAGAGGCCAGAGATGTGGCTAAATATCCTGCCAATGTCAAGACAGCCCCGCCCAGAACAAAGAATTATCTGGTCCAAATGTCAGTAGTGCTGAGGTGGAGAAACCCTGCTCTCATCCCATGCCTTGGGAGGCCTCGTCCAACTCCTGACTGGCTCTATGTGCACCACGCCACCAAGGCTTAAGGCTTTCCATTTCTGGTGGATGACTTGCCAATCCGTGGCTTTGTCAGCTATAAGGAGGCAGAGTGGCTTTCTGCCACACAGCCCCAAGATAGGACTCTAGACCCCTTTGGATTTCCACATTGAATCCATGGAGATGGAATTATTTTGCCGATGTCTCGGTGTTGGGTGTCAAGCCCCACAGCCCCGCTGGGTTATGGCCTCATCCACACAGAGTGTGCTGGTCCGAGACTTCAGTGGAATGTTGGGAGTGGCAGGTGTCATGGGGATGATGGTGGTGACTTCTTTCCCCAAGCATGGGAAATCTATTGGTTGCCCATCATCAACTCACTGGTGGGTCTTGTGGTTGTCTTTCACATGTGTGTGTTTTGTAATGACCTGGCTGGGTACAACTTGGATGAAGAGGCGACCTCCGGGGGTTCTGGTGATGGTTTTGACCATGGTGACAATGGCTGGAAAATCATCCATACAGATGTCCTCTGCTTCCCTCCATACCATAGTTTGCTCTGTGCTGTGCTCAGCATGGGTGCCCAGTTCCTGGCCCCTGGCACTGGTGAGGTGATAAGAATCAGGGATTTCTCTCAAGGGGTAGAAATAAGTAGATAGCTTGTTCAGAAAAGGTTTACAGATCTTCTTTCCAAGGTGAGGGGCAGACCTAAGGAGTGGGGTGGCTCTAGTGAGGATGAGTATATTCTATTGTAGGTTTTCTGGACAATAGAATTGGGGAGATTGCTCTGCTGCAGGCCCTGGGTCTGGGAGAAAGGGGACTGATTCCTCTAAAACATACTAGAAGAGGGATAGGTGAGCCCTAACACAGGCTTCTTGGTGCTACTCTACAGACATCATTATCACGGCACTGCTGGGTATGTTCAGTGGATATCATCATGGGGCCATTAACTCGGTGCCATCTTGTTGTATGCCCCGACCTCCTGCATCTCTGGACACGTGTCCAGCCACTTCTATTGGCAGATCAGAGTTGAATGGTGGATGTGGAATGTCATTCTCACTACTATCCTCTTCTCTGGGGGAGACTTCCCTTTCCCTGGTGGGCCAGCCTAGACTTAGGAACTTAGAACACATCATGGTACCTGTAATAGAGTCAGAGTGAGGTTTACTGCCCGGACCCTCACATGCCTGTTTCCTTGTCCTAGCTCTGCCAGTTCTTGGTCATCCAATGATTTCTTCTTGATACTGATAATTTGTGTCTTCCTTGTCTTTTCTTTATTGCCCTTGCTAGAGGCTTATCCATTTCAGTGATCTTTCAAAGAACAGCTTTCTGTTTAATTGCCTTTGTTGTTTTTATGTCTTTTATTTTATTGATTTTGGTTTGTATTTTTCCTACCTTCTGTGTTACTTGGGTTTATTTTCCTTTTCTTTTTCTAGTTTCTCATGGTAGTACCTTACATTATTGATTTGAGCCCCTAACATGAACATTTAGTGCTGTGAATTTCCCTCTCAGACTCTTTTGGCTATGTCCCACAAATTTTGATATGCTGCATTTTCATTCAGTTCGATGTGACCTATTCCTTTGAGACTTCCTCTTTGACACATGGATTATTGTGTGTGTGTGTCCATGTGTTTGGAGAATGTCCTGCTATCTTTCCATTACTGATTTCTAGTCTGATTCCACTGTGTTCAAAGTTCACATTCTGTATGATTTCAATTCTTTTGAATTTGCTGAAATTTGTTTTCAGGAAATAGTCTACCTTAGTGAATGCCTCATGCGCACTTGAAAAGAATGAGTATTCTGCTGTTCTTGGGTGAAGTAGTTCTATAAATATCGATTAGGTCCTGTTGGATGACAGTGTTGTTCTATATCCTTGACAATTTTCTGACTAGTAATTCTGCCTACTGTGAGACATTGGTGTTAAAAGTCCTCAACTATAATTGTGGATTGGTCTGTTTCTCTTTTCAGTTCTACCAATTTTGCTTCATGTATATTAGAATTCTGTTGTTTGGTCCATACATATTTAGGACCGCTATGCCTTCTTGGTGGACAAATCTTTTTATCAGGATGTAATGTCCTAGAGGCTGCTGGGAAGATGGCAGAGGACGACGACCCTGGGCTCACCTCTTGCCGCGTGGCCACCTAGACAACACCCACGTCGGCATAAATAACCCAGAAAGCAACCTGAAAGCTGGCAGAACAGACTCTCTGCAGCCTGGCAGAGACAAGAGGCCACAGTGAAGCAGATCCACCCCCTCCGATCGCTCTTGGCAAGAGCCCATCAAAGCAGTGCCATAAGTCTGGCAGTGTGCACGCAGCCCAGCCAAGGATCAGCGCCACTCCAAAGTGAGTCCTGCTCCAGGGAGAGGAGAAGATAAGCACACACCAGTCTGACTGTGACCCTAGCAGTGGGCTGGGGGCAGGTAGTTGGTCTGACTGCAGGCCCCACCCACCAACAAAAGCTTCTCAGAGGACAACACAGGGAAAGTGCCTGCAGTTTGGTGCTACTTCGTCTCTAGCAAATGCCTGGTCTGACTCAACTCAAGCCCAAGGCAGCCCCGGACTGGCCCACTAACACCACGGGCACCAGACTCTGCCCACAACAGGCAGAGAGCCATCGCAGGCCACACTGAAGGCAAACACACCCCAGCCACAATGGTAGGACCCCCCTGGAGCAACACATGTATAGGAGACACCCCCTGAAGCACCATTTTCTGGTGAAAAAGAGACCTTGCGCTGCAAGACCTCTTCTTCATAAAGCCATTACTTTCAAGTGTGGGAGACGAAGCTGCCTTTCCTAACACAAAGAAACAGACACAGCAATAGACAGAATGAAGAGACAAAGGAATATGTCCCAAATGAAAGAGTGGAACAAAATCAGAGCAGGAGACCTAAGTGAAATGGATAAGTAATATGTCTGATAGAGAATTTAAAGTAATGCTCATAAAGATACTCACTGGACTTGAGAAAAGAGTGCAGAACCTCCATGAGACCCTCCACCAAGAGATAGGAGACATAAAAAAGAACGAGTTTCACTAAATGGAAATAAAAATAGACCACCTGGAATAAATAGCAAAGAGGAAGTAGAAGAATGGATCAGCCACCTGGAGGACAGAGTAATGGAAAGTAATCAAGCTGAGCAGATGAGAGGGGGAAAAAAATACACAGAATGAGAACAGACCCAGGGAACTCAGCGACACTGTCAAGCATAACAGTCACATGATAGGGATCCCAGAAGGAGAAGAGCGAGAAAAGGGGGCAGAAGATTATCTGAAGAAATAATAGCTAAAAACTTCCTGAATCTGGGGAAGGAAAGAGAAATCCAGATCCAGGAGGCACAGAGAGCCCCCAACACAACCAACCCAAAGAGGTCTGCACCAAGATACAAAGTAAATAAGATGGCCAAAAGTAGTGATAAAGAGAGAATTTTAAAATCAGCAAGAGAAAGGAAAGCAGTGACAAACAAGGGAAACCCCATACGGCTATCAGTGGGTTTTTCAGCAGAAACTCTGCAGGCCAGAAGAGAATGGCATGATAAATTCCAACTGCTAAAAGGAAACAAATCTATAGCCAAGAATACTCTATCCAGCAAGGCTTTCATTTAGAATAGAAGGAGAGAGAGAGTTTCCCAGAAAAACAAAAGTTAAAAGCAAAACCAGCCACGTCCCTGTCACACAAGATGCCATCGGCCTGTGGGTCCCAAATTCACAGTCCAGCTGCCCTTCTGCCTGAGTCATCATGCATGGCCTGCCACCTGCTCAATGCCAAGTCAACACGCTTTCACCTCAGATTGCCAAGGATTCAAACTGGCACTTTTCCCCTCAAATTCCATCCCCTGTGCTCAAGTTTGTGCACAAAAGTGGGCATAATTATAACAGCAGAATGAAGCATCCCAAACAGTGACACTATTTCTGTGGAATATAGAATGGATAAAAGGAGTGTGCTAGGCTGAGAAGGTCTCTAACAAGCACATCAAAGAACAATACATACAGCATGATTCTGGTTAGTAAAAAAAACAAACCCGGGAAGAATAAAACAAGATGAAATCAGAGAGGGAGACAAACCATAAGAGACTCTTAAGCATAGGAAAGAGGCTGGGGGTTGCTGGAGGGGAGGTGGGTGGGGGGATGGGGTAACTGGGTGATGGGCATGAAGGAGGGCAGGTGATGGAATGAGCACTAGGTGTTCTATGCAACTGATGAATCACTGAACTCTACTTCTGAAACTAATAATACACTGTATGTTAATTGAATTGAAATAAAAGGACCCCCCTCCCAAAAAAAGGATGTAATGTCCTTCTTTATCCTTGGCAATTTTCATTGCTCTAAAGTTTACTTCATCTGATATTAACATAGCCACTCCTGCTTCCCACTGACTAATGTTTGAATGGTGTATCTTTCTCTATCCTTTTACTTTCAGTCTACATATATCTTTATATTTGAAGTGAATTTCTTATATACCGTATATAGTTAGATCATGATTTTAAATCCACTCTACCAATCCTTGTTTTTTTTGTTTTTTGTTTTTTTTAAGTGAGCAAATGGCCACCAGGAACTCCACCCTTTGATTCTCCTAGTTTAGCAATTCCAGAGCACAGAACATGCCTCTCTCCTTGTAGCTCCAGCAGCCTTCCCAAGGAGGCCTCTCATTGCCCTGGCCCTATTCTTTGTTCTTAACTAGTAGATTTATACCATTTACATCTAATGTAATTTTGGCATGTTAGGGTTTAAGCCTGCCATTTATTATTTGTTTTCTGGCTTTCATTCCTCTGTTTTCTTTTTCATGCTTTTCTCTGGTTGCCTGAACAATTTTTATAATTCCATTTTCATTTATCTATACTGGTTTTGAGTGCATCTCTGTAGTGTAAATGCTTGATATAAATTTTTGATTGCTGTGGCATCCATTTCAAAGACCTCCATCTTGAATTAACATACTGCTGGGTGGATGGCACGGTGCCAGCAAAATAACTAGTAAGGAATGAGGCCACCCCCACCCATGAAGTTCCCCTTACAAAGAGCCCCGAGTAACCTAGATTAACCGACCACTTGATTGATCTCATTTCTCCCTTCCCGTGCCCTAATTCCTCCTCTTATGCCATAAATTTGCTAATAAAGAGTGTACCTGTGAAACTCTACGTACCCCACCCTCAGTCCCTAATAAAGGCAGAGCCCTAGGTCTTTTCTCTCTCCCTCTTTCTCTCTCTCTCTTGACCCAGAACTTCATGTGTGGCCCTGGGGTGTGTAATAAACCATGTTCTTCAAAGTTCCCCAATGGTTTTGCTGAGGTGCATCCTGAAATCATAGTAAGAACCACAAGGGCTGGTCCAGCCACAGCACCGGCCCTGGTGCTGGTGGAAGGGGGGACATCTGTGGGGCTCAGGCATTCCTAATCAAGAACATCACTATCAATGGGCTGGGACTGACACAACAAAGTCTTTGTATAGTTTTTTGTTTTTTTCTTTTCCCCAGTGGTTGCCCTAGGTGTTTTACATGTGTAACTTACTCCAACAGCCTACTGGTATCAATATTTTTAACCATACTGTCTCCATTTAGGTCTCTGTACCCACGCACCCCCATTTAAAATTGCCTTACGGATTTCTTTTCCATACAATGAATGCCACGTCAGGCAATGTTACAGTTTTTGCTTTAGCTATTAGACATAATTTCAAAAACTCAAGAGGATAATAGTCTAATATGTTTGCCCATAATTTTACCATTAGCATTGTTCTTCTTAATTCCTGATGTTCTCTCCACCCTCCAGAGTCTTCCTCTATTCGTATTAGACATTATGTCCAGGGTCTGAGCTGCACTTTAGTGAGAAGAGAGAGAACTGCATCCATGCCATTTTGTCTGTAACCGCCATCAACCTCTTCTAATACTTGATATTTTTAGCCTATTTTTATTTTATTTTATTTATTTATTTTAAAGATTTTATTTATTTATTTGACAGAGAGAGACACAGCGAGAGAGGGAACACAAGCAGGTGGAGTGGGAGAGGGAGAAGCAGGCTTCCCACTGAGCAGGGAGCCTGATGTGGGGCTCGATCCCAGGACCCTGGGATCATGACCTGAGCCGAAGGCAGACACTTAACGACTAAGCCACCCAGGCACCCCTTTAGCCTATTTTGAAATAAAAATTTTTATTTCAGAGTAGTTTAGTTTTACAGAAAAGTTGCAAAGATAGTGTAGAGTTCCCATATATCCCAGTTTCCCCCATTAACACATCTTATGGTATCTTTGTTATAATTAGCGAACCAATATTAATATATTATTAAATAAAGTTCACCCTTGATCTAATTTCCTTAGTTTTTACCTAATGTCTTTTTCAAAATGTTCCAAGATCCCATCCAGGATACAGCATCCCGTTTAGCTGTTATTTCTACCAGGCTCCTCTTGGATGTGACAGCTTTCTCAGACTTCCCTTGTTTTTGATGACCCTGAGAGTTTGGAGGAGTCAGGCATTTTGCACAAGGTCCTCAACTGGGATTTTCTGATGTTTTCACTGCATTAGACTGGAGTAATGGGTTTTGGGGACAAAGACCACAATGGTGGTAAAGGGCCATTGTCATCACATCATATCGAGGGTACATACATCAACAAGCCTGATCACTGTTGACACCGACCTTCATTGCCTGGCTGGGGTGGGGATTGTTGGGCTTCTCCTGTGTAAAGCAGCTACTTATCACCCCCCATCCCATGCTGTACTCTTTGGAAGGAAGTCACTATGTGCAGCCGATATAGTTTCTTTCTTTCTTTTTTTTTTTTAATTTTACACTTATAGTAATTTCCCACAAATTCTGACTTATTGGAGGAATTAATCTTCCCTGGACCCGTATTTTTCCAAACATTTCGTTTATTACACCAATATGAAGCATTTATGCGGCAAAGCAAAGATCAAAGGCATGATTCCAGAGACTGTTTCTCTTAATACTTCCATGCACTCAAAACTAATGTCCTAATTTAGAGGCCTTTCAATACTATCATAGCCATTTCTAGGAAAAACCTAAAAATCCTACGCAGCTGTAAGGGGAATGGAATTCTTCTGAATGCTTGTTTTGTTTCAGGGAAATTTATCAGAAGAAACAGAATCAGTTTCATTTTCTCTGGAAAGTTTACCTTAAAAAGAAACTTGGATCTTACACACCATTTCCTCATGAATCTCCTAAATTCCCAAAGGGAAGCACATTTGTGAATGCTGTATTTGTCCTTTTGACACAGATAGGTCTATTTTTAGACTAGGCAGACAGACTGGCAGAATGGTTTGTGCTTTGTATAGACTCTACAGCACACGGAGGCCTGTGACATTATTATCTTGAGTCCCCATATGCCTACGGCGTAGGACTTGAAGCATCATGTTGCCCTTTTATATTGCTAAAGACCATCCTAAGTTTTGTTTTTGCTTCTATGATGTATTTGTCAGAACCGGAACTTGTTTGATGTTGAGTTTCTGGATATGAGTAATTATCACGAGAAAATATGACTCTTGCTTACCAAATGGCTCCAAGAATACACTGCAGAGGAAAAGGGGAGATTGCTCAAACTAAGGATATTGTTAGAATGTTCTCTGTATGCAGGAGGCTCTGTACAGTCTGACATCATGGAAATCTCTAAGTGACTACCGCCAACCCCCACTTATTCACCTTAGTGTCATGTGAGAGTTCTGGAAAAGAACAATGAGGCAGTAGCCTTATCAGATAGGAAAACAACTTATAAAGAAAAAGAGTCAAAATAATTATGTATCAGACAAGGTACAGAAATAGAAATTCAAGAAAAAGACCCACATTCAAATGGGAACTGAACCCATAATCACAGCGGCATTTCACAATGGCTGGGAAAAGGGAGCTATTCCCCAGACGGTGCTGAGAGGTGACTGGGGAGCGGAAGATCCGGACCTTCACCCCCAGGCCTTACCTCAAGGTAAATTCCACGGGGATCCAAGATTTTATTATAAAACAACGAAACTATGAAGTACCAGCAGGCAGAAAGGATTAACGTTTTAACAGCTCTGGAGTGGGAAAAGTATGAACATGCAACATTCAGAAGCCATACAATAAAAATGGGGTAATTTGTTTGGCTTAAAAAACCCCACAAACTCAAGAGACATTTGGAAGGATGGCCACGGGTCATCTGACACGTGAAGGGACAATACTTTCAATGAATGCAGAACTCTTGCAAAAGGATCAAAGAGAAAGGTGAACAAAATTAAAACGTAAGAGGCAATGAACACAGGGAAAGATGCCTAGCCTAACGAGTCACTTTTCATTGCCTAGACTAAACAAACTGAAAATTCCAGAGGTGAGAAGTTCATGGCCACAGGGAAGGGGCACCCTCCTTCACACCTCCCAGGATGGCTGCTGCGCCTTCGGGCGGCACCTCCCAGATCCGCGAGAAGAAGGGGGGCAGGCAGGGAAAAGGCAAAAGGTTCCTGCTCCGGAGTCCCCCACTTTAATGAGTTCTCGTGGATGCCCAGTTCTGCTTACATCTCATTTGCTGGCTGCACGGCGGCAGTATGGGGAACGTACTCATTTTTAACTTTCCTCCTAGAAGGCGCACAAGTCCTAAGGATCCCACTTAGGGATCTTCACAAAGTGAACACATCAATTTGACCAGCATCCAGATCAAGGAACAGAGTGGGAACAGCCTCCTTGCAAGACCCCATGTGCTCCCTCCCGGTCACTAGGGAAGGTAATTTTAATGGGTACATTCTCAGTGTGACCACAAGAGGGTTCGTTAAGAAAGAAAAAGAGAATATAAGTAACCAGCCATCTGTCACAGCCATCATTTTCTAGATTCACCCAAAGGCACTCTGACTTTTAAGTCTTCTCCCCAAATTTTATACTCTCCGCCCAAGACATGTTCTGGTTCTTTGAGAGAGAATGGCTGGGATTTACATTTGCTGGGATTTTATATTGTGAGGCTGGGACCCAGAGCAAGCGGGCCCTGAGCAGGAACTTTCTGCAGCAGTAGACTCATAGGTGAATGCAGTGAGGAGGTCCCTATCAGAGGACGAGCTGGCCCCCAAGCATGGAGAGAGATGTGACTAGGGAGACATCTCAGAGAACCATCAGGGACCCCATCCCATGAATGGGATGAAGATGGGGATAAGGTGCAATTCTGTCTGTATCTTTTAGAAGTGAGAAGACCCCAAAATATATGTGGCCAAATCTTAGAAGTCAGAATTTATTCAGGATTACAGTATTTGTATTGGAGAGAGACCTCGCATTACAAATACAGGCGATTTTTGCTGGGGCTCCCATCCTCCTGAACACTGAAACATTCATCTTAGGGAAAGCCCGATCTGTGGAGGCCTCTGCAAGCATTCTAGCACCTTCATAAGCCACAGGAACTCTACAAATGCAATAAATGTGAAGGCTTTCAGGAAGGCAGAGGTCATTCAACGTCAGAGAATTCACACTGGAGAAAAACCACATGCACGTAATGGATGTGAAAATGCTTTTAGACAGTGCTCACAGCTAATTAGACTTCTGGGATTTCAGGGCAGGGAGAAGCTCTGTAAGCATAATGGATGAGGAAGAACCTACAATCCCAGCCAGACTCAGACAATGTCAGCTAATTTAGTTGGGACTTGAGCCGGTCATATGTAATGAATATGGAGAACTGTCTAGGGGAAGCATGGAGTGGATTGAACCTGAGATCATTCATCCTAGAGAGAAGCCTGTGAGCCTAATCGGTGTGGAAAATCATGTGGGGACAGTGTAGCCCTTTCTTATCATTGGAGAGTTCACGGGAAAGACACTCTCGTGTTGTACAGACTGTGGGAGAGCGTTTAATCCATAATCAGGCAAATTCATACTGGAGAAAAAACCCTGATTACCAAGAAGGAGGAAAAGCCTTCAAGTTCTTTTCCTTACTGGATTTCAGAGAAACCTTCATGGTGTACGGGCCAACTGTGGGGGTGGGGGAATTCATGGTGTATTAAGCATCACAGTGAAGCATTAATCACATCAAAGTAGGAGGTTACCCTTTTTGCTTCCTCCATCCCAAAGCTTTCATTCGTTTCTCTGATGAGGTCAGGAATTTTTTGTGTGTGTCTTTAATGACTAATCTTCCTAATAGTATCATTGCTTTTATAAGTTTAGCTTGTAATTCTACTAGGTGTTCAGTACTTCTACTGAGTGAGTGAAGTAACACAGTGGGCAAATGTCGGGGTTGACCTGGTTTTGGCCTTTGGGGGCAGAACTCCTAAGATACGCAGGGTGCATAAGGGCTGCACCCAGAGGGACGAGGCTTAGTGGCAGAGTCTGCTGGTAACTCAACCGTGTTTGGGCCCCATTCATTTGATGAACTTCTACAGGCCACATGTTTCTACTACTGATGATGTGGGGATGGGAAATGGGTTGGTGAGACTTTTCTCAAGTTCTGAATGCAATGAAATATTCGTAGGATGCATGAGGAGGATGTCAGATTATCTTTGTTGTGTACCTGAAACTAGAAATCGAAAGAGGAAGGCCTAGAGTGCTCGAGTTCAACGTCTCATTGCACAAGGGAAGGGAGGACCACACATTTTCTTGTGTTGTGTTGAAGAAGCACCCCCGTCCCCACTGCTTGGTCAAAGTTGGGGCAGAAGAAAGCTTAATCTAGTCCTTATCAACAGACAGCTTTCCCCCCTCCCAAGGGAACCAGGATGATCCCCAGACCAGGATTTGAAGCTTCCATAAGACATCCTTGCCTCCCACTATCTTTACTCTCCAGCTGAGGTGAAAGAGATTCAGATCTTGAGCATTTCTGGCTCCTGGCTTTGCTGAGAAGATAGGAAGAAAGGGTGGAGAGAGAGGGAGAGGTGGAGAAGAGACAAAGAATGAAGCACGTGGGAGCGCCTGCACGCAGGCAAGGGCCACAATTCAGGCCCTGTTCCTAAAAGGATCTAAAATGTCAGGAAGGCTGGCTGGAGAGTTAACGAAAAGGCCTCGTTTTCCACCAGTTTAATTCTAGTTGCTGTAAACTCCTCCCAGCCAGTACTTGGCACTTGTGAAATCTTGCTGTGGACCCTGGCCTCCCGCAGAAGTGATCCAACCCACCCGCCATTTGTCCATTCCAGCTTGCTGCTCCTTCCGTGTGCTTTCCATGGCTTTCTGGCCCATGCTTAGGCTCTCCCCTTCGCCCCTCACTGCACTTGTTCATCCCAAAATTCATCATTGAGCCCCATTTTAGAAGACTCATGCTCATGTATCTAGAACTTTCCTGAATCTATCTTTCCTCATTTGCGTCCAACAGGCCCTGGGAGTTGGGACTAGGTGCTGGAATTGCTCTGTAGGCTGTGAGAAATCTTGACTTGTATTTCCTACCACGTAAGTTAAGATTTCCACTGTTTAAATTTGTGGTGATTTCCCATTTGGATCTAAACCAAGAGCCATGGGGCTCTAAGGAGTTGATGACGGACAGGTTCAGAGGAGTGCTATACTGGCTAAGAATGTCTTAGCCTTCAAATAGCAGAAATCTGCTTAGAAAATAAAGACATTTAATTAATGTATCAATAAGACTGGAAGTAGGTGGTTCCAGGATAGGTATAGTGGCTCAACGATGTCATCTAGGACCCAGGCTCTTTTTGTCCGTCTGCTGGGCCAACTTTGGTACATTGGCTTCTTCCCTTGATCTTGTTGCCTCATGGTCCCAAGATGGCTGCTACAGCTCTAAGTATCACATCCTCAAACATCCATGTCCAAAGCAGGAAGAAGGGCCAGGCCTCTTCACCATCCTTCCTTTCATCAAAAAGCAAAATTCTTCCCAGAAGGACCTCCAGCCCATTTCCTCCTAATTTTTATTGGCAGATTGAAGTCACGTGGCCCCCTCTAAGCCAACTGACAGCCAAGGGAATAAGGAACAAGTTTGTTGCAGTGACTCACATGGGCCAGGCGGGCCCAGGAGCTCTGGGACACTAGGGGAGCTCTGGGACACTAGGGCACCTCTGGGACTGGCTCCACCCCCAGGCTTTCATGGGTCCCAGCTCTGTTCCGGCCGTCCCTTCCTTTCTCCCGTCGCCAACGACAGGCTCATGGTTCCCTCCACTCGGAGGTCTCTCCATGTCACGGCTTGTTTTTCTTCTATCTCCACGTCCCTTCTTCAGCCTCATTCAGGCCAGCACATCGGTCCATCCAGGCCCTACTTGCCCTCACGCTATCCTGTCACACACACACTGTGCCGATACAGTCTGATGTTTTGGTTTGAGTTTCCCCAAAGGGGAATCCGACTGGTCTGACTGGTTTTCCTTATATTTTTGAGCCAGCCAGGTGATTTCAAAAGTCACTGGTCAGCTTCCACTGGATCCTGGCCCAATGGGCAGGGTCATGTAATACAGTGGGGGCCAAATGTGGCAGCTCCCCACAGATGGGGCTCAGGGCAGGACAGGTACCGTGGACAAGGAGGAGCATGGACGGTGGCTTTGCGGAGCCCGGAACAACAATGTAAGGAGATGAAGTTACTCTATGAAGAGAGGCCATTAAAGGAGAACATGGAAGCATCAGATGCACGAGTGAAAAAGTCATTTTGGACATTTCCACCCCATTTCAGTGGATGTCACGCGAAAAAGAGGGGAGGGATCCTGCTGGCAGACAGAACCAAGGGCCCCGCACTACGGCCAGTCAGACCACCTTAGCCAAATCCAGCCGTTTGGGCCTCTTGGGTTGAGGCCCAGACACAGTGGAGCAGAAAGAAATTGTTCCTGCCTTGCTCTGCCTGATGACCTGACTCACAGAATGGAGAGCAGAAATCACAGATTCTTGCATCTGCCACGCCTCAAGACTCTCCCCAAATTCCCACAGCAGAAATTCCAGTGACTGCTGGGAGTACGGAGGATGTCGCTCGTGAATCACAGGGATGGTCGGGAGGTTCAGCCCCCACTCGACCTGGCCTCTCAGAAACTACTGAGCGGCTCTGATGGGCCGCGGAGGGGGCTGTGGAAGCAAGACCATTTCAAGGTGGCTGCGCCATCGAGACGCAGCATGGACTGAGGATTCTGGCGACGCAAGGAAAATTCCCGCAAGGCGCGAAGCAGCGCCTTAAAGCCCGAGTGATGGGCAGGCCTGGACGTGAAGCCTGCTCCTCCCCTCACTCGCTGCCCGCCCTTGGGCAAGTTGTTTAACCTCTCTAAACCTTATTTTCTTCATTCGAACATGAGGACAGGAACATGCTACTTCCCGGGGCTGCTGGGGATTCAGCGGGGCCCTGCATGGGAAGCCCTTGGCCGTGCGGGCACTAAAGGCAGGCTGTGCTGGTTAGAGCCTCACGCATGCACCGAGCAGCCTCAGAGGCCCCCCGTGAGAACGGCCGCTCAGCGAGCATCCAAGAGCCTGGCGTGGGTGCTCTGGCTGGGGGGCTGTGAGGACGGGGGGGTGCCTTTACATACCATGAAGCCCTTTACAGCTTTCCTTCTAGACCTGGCTTCTCGAGCTATTTTCTAGAAGCCTTTGGAGCTGCTTCTTAGGAAGAGCCTTGGCCCATTCCCTACGAGTGCGGAGCTGAGAGCCACCTGCCCCCTCCAGCGCCCTGCTCCCCCCACAGCCTTCACTTGATCATCTATTTCGACCTCCTCTACCTGTTTGCATTAATTTCTGTTCAGTCGGGTCTCTGGGTGGTCATTAGGGGAAAAATGTGAGGGAGTGTTCTGGAGACCCACTGTAAATGACACTCCAGCTACCAACAGCCAAACCTGGAGCGCGGACACCTGGTAGTCAGCGGTGTTCCTGCCCAGAGACAACTGCGTGGGCACGAAAGCCCCTGGTAAGCACACAAAGAGGCGGCTGGCAAGGGCCCCCCTTCCCCTCTCTCCTTAACCCTTGGTGACCTGCTCACATCTCCACCAGCTTCAAGGTTCGGCTGTTTGGAAGCAGCCCCCGGCTCCTAGGGGCAGTGCCAGCCCTCGGGACCAGCTCCTACTATCTGGCCTAGAACATTTTTAACTCACTAGCTTTAAAAGAAAGCAGCAGAGAGCTCCAAGGCTCTATAAAACCCTCGATGTATACCCAGGATTTGTCCCCTTCCCCTGCCCCACCCCCTAGACAGGGATTCTGCAGCTTACAAAACACACAAGGGGGCACTGTCTGCATTTTGTGCTGAGGACCCAGGACTTCGCCATATACCAAAGGGAGGATGCATTCATTGGGGCGTGGGGGGCCCGGGGGGGGACACTTGAGGACAGTCACTAACATCTGAACTCGGACCCTCCATGAACTCCCTGGCTGCTGGTAACTACAGAAGCACTCCCCTACTCCACGCCAGGTGAAGACTTTCTACGTGCCAGGTGCTAAGCCTCTCTGAAGAGAGGCTTCAGACCCAGGCTGTGCCCTCAAAGAGCTGCGGGTTCATGCTGAGGGTGGTCCCTACGCCAGCCAGAGTTAACCAGGACACTGCGTGGACAGCTCTGCCACAATACCGATCACTTGCTTGCCCCCCGCCTCCCCCTCCCCGAAGTCACTCCCAGGATTGGCACCATGCACGGCTGGCCGCAGGGAGAATCTGGCTGGTCTGCCTGGCGTGGGCGGGTGTCGGGGCCAAGGAGTGGCAACAAGGACGAGATCACCTTCCTCCTGCGTGACCTGGAAGAGTGCGGCAGCAACCGTCCCCCGAGAAGGCAGGCCACGTCTTCGGTCACGGGCTCATCTCCGCCCACGACTGCGTGGAACCATAAATCCGTTGGCTTCGACCGCAGTGGCCACAGCCGCACCCGGTCTCCAACCCAAGTCCCGCCGTGCTCAGACATGCCATGGAGAACAGCAAAGACAGGATGTGGCTCCTCCTCAAAGAGCTTCCTTTAAGTCTGTTGGAGAAGAAGAAGGCATAGAAAAGTCATGAAAACCTAGAGCATCGCGTGGGTGCTAAGGGGTTTGGTGGGCCGTGAACTCTCACAGGAACACGGACAGTGGGGGGGGCGGGGTGTCCAACTGCAGGCCTACAGAGTCCTGGGAAGGCTTCAGGGAGGAGGTGAGCTTCGGGCCAGGCCAGGAGGGTGGGCAAATTCAGACCCGTGGGGGGGGTGGGGGTGGTGGCGCTGCATTCCAGGGGCACCTGTGACCCGGGCGTTGACCTCGGGCGCTCAGAACATAGCTGACTGCCCCCCCTCCCCGCCGTGAAAGTAGTGCCTTGTCCTCTTGCTGTGCTATCATAGGAGAAGACAGCCGGGGGCTGGAATGTTGGTGCAGTCACAGAGCTTGGTTTTTTGGAACTGGGGACTTGTGACACTCTCATGTCCTACGCTATCATCACAGCGTGAGGCCAGGACCGAGGACAGCCCGAAAACGCCACTGCTCAGCCTTCCCGCCAAGGCAGAATCACGGGGGCCAGCCTGGGGCAGGGGAGCTGCTGCTGATATGCTGAGAAGGGCATCGCTTTGGGAAACCTCAGACTCTAAGCCCAAACCTCGGGCTCAGTTCTGGAGGGTATCAGAGAATTCGTACAGAAGAAATCTTTGAATATTATGAATAAGGGAAAATTTCCCTTCATTTCCTAATTCATCCTAGAGAGACTCGGTGAATGGCACTGATGTAGGAAAGTCCTCAGAAGGAGGTGAGCAGCCTTAGAGATGAGGAGGTCACAGGTGAGGGGCATGGGACACATAAAACACAAGCCCTGGCAGCCCGACCTTCCGAGTGCCACGCAGGAGAAAGTGGCATCCTCAGTGGGCCGAGCCACGGACTCGCCCAACAGCAGATAAGCCATTCACGGGCTAAATCTTTCAAATGGAATGAATCGAGGGCGGTGGTCATTTGAGGAGAAATCAGCCCTTATTCATCTCCCCAAGATCCTGACCAGGGAGAGGGCGGGGGCTCCTTGGGAATGAGGGAGCTCGTGGGGGCCAGAGGGGGGCCGCCGCACGGGCCTCTGAGCACACGGGACAGAAAACGTTCCTATCGGAGAAAAACAACGATGAACGGAATCTAGAGAATGATTTTGCTGGAACTTGGAACTTTTCGCACCAGTGATGGAACAAGAGCCTGGCTGTAAGGAGCGCAGATGCCCCGTGGGACTGTTTGTTCAGGTGACAGGGGAGCACGTGTGGTCCCTGAGGTCCACAGCGCTGAGCCGAAGAGAAGAACGGGGACATCGCCCCTCCTCCTTCCACATCGGTCTTCAGCAAAGTCTGATGTCACCTTTCCTGTCCCTTGCCTCGGGCCTGCGGAGGGTACCTTCACACAGGCCCTGCCTGTGTGGGCTTGGGCTCTGGCGGGCAGGAGGCCACCTGTCCACTACCCGGCTGGTGACCACTGTGACCCATTCCACGCTGGCGACTGTGACTGGCTCATTCATCCACTCATCCATTCAACAAGTGCCTTTTCCACATCTCGTCTGCTCTGTCCCTGGCACTACTGTTTGTGCGGGGGGCGGAGGGGGCGGATAAAGGACAGGGAAGGAGGGGCCAGCAGCAAGTGGCCTGGGAGATCGTGGGGAGACGAGAAGGGTCTCGGGAGCACAGCAGCACCTCCGGGTCCCACGGTCTCAGAGGGGCGCTCGGGAAAGAGGGAGGAAGGAGTCTGTCCGCCATGTGTCGGGGGGGGGCACGTGATTCCTCCAAGCCACCCCACGAGCCAGGGGTCCATTAGCTCCACTGTGTAAAGAAAATAAGCCAGCAACCGAGGCGACGTCTGTCTCACTCCTCGTGCCACGGTCGTCCCACAGGGAGCCAACTGGCCCTTCAGCACTGCTCCTCCTCAGGCTCCGTTTCCAGAAACACAGGGGACACTGAGAGGCAGCTGGTGAACTGGGGGTAAGGGGGATGAAGGGGAAAGGGGCTGCCTTCTGCAGACTCTACTTCAGAGAACAGGGAAGGGCTCACTCATATCCCTCACGGAGCGCCAGGCGCTGGGGATGTGAGTCAGAATGACATGGTCCCTGCCCTCATGGAACTCCCATTCTAGAAGGAAGCGGGCAACCCAGCATGCTGTGCAATTTGAAAGGGGAAGGATGGGCCCCGAGGAAGCACAGAGAATTACGTAACCCAGACTCACAGGGTTGAGAGTGACTTTGGGGAGGAAGTAACAGGTTGGCTAAGACCCCAAAGAGGAAGCCTCAGCCTGATGTGTGGAGAGAACTTGCGGGAAGGTCTGCTGGTGATGGAGCAGAGTGAGAGGGGCCGAAAGACGGCCCGCCTAGTGTATGTGAGGAAACAGTGCGGGTGGGGAGGCACGCAGCTCAGAATGGACCCTGAAAGCGATGGGAAACCGAGAAGAGGGTTAGGTGTGGGGATGACCCGAGCAGGTTTGTGGTTTATCCCTTCCCTGGGAGGCCCAAGGCTGCCACAGCGAGGAGAGAGCTGTCCAAGGCTTCCTCAAGTTCAGGCACGTGTGGTGGAAGAGGGAGGCTGGGAATTCTGTCTTTTTTTCCCCTCGTGCACCAAGAAGGTTTCCAAGAGATGCAGTGAGCAGAAGGAGTAATCAAGCGAAGACTCACTACAGGTCCCTTGCATGGGAGCTGCCCGTTCCAGACCCCGGCAGGACGCACAGGCGGCTTGGGGACACATGTGCGTGAGCCAACACCTCCTTCTTGTGGCCACGAGGGGGATTGCCACTGTGTTCACAAGCATGCGGGGCCTTCTCTTGCTTCCCACCCAGAAAAGCAGAGCAGATGAAGTCCCAGCTGCAGGTGGCTGTGGACCCCAGGAGGTCTCCCACCTGTTGTTTTTTTTTTTAGGAGAAATCTGAGTAACGGGGGAAATGTGTATATATGTTTAGAAACAGATGCTAGAGAGGCAACGTTACCCATGACTCTGAAACAGATGACTAATTTTTTTTCATTTTGTTTGGATGTATTTTAAAGTTCTCTGTTCTAGACGTGTATTCCTTTTGTTAATAAGAGAATGAATGTATTATTATTTTTTGAAAGGCAGAAATGACACAAAAGTGCCCCAAGAGGGGACTAAAGTGGAGGCCTGGGGGCTCAGGTGACAACCGAGTGTCTGGGTGATGAGCTGCTACCCAGGCCAGCTCCCTGGGCCCTTCCACATCTGGGGAGCACAAACCCAGGACAGCTGCAGGGCCACAAGGGGGTCTGGGTTTGGGGATGAGGCCTCCTGAAGGAGCCCTCCCTGCTGTCTCTCTAGTTATGTCCCTCATGCCCTTTGGCTCACACCCCGTGGTCCCTCCTGCCTCGCTTTCTCTCATGTACGTGCTGCCCTCCTGACCTGGTCACGCAGGGGCACATGACTGCCAGCTTCTGGGTGATCTAGAGCCTATTCCCTACGGCCACATGGAGGGTCCTCTCCTGTGCAGGCTGATGCTAAATGAGGGCTGGGTCTGCCCACAAACTGTGGCCACAAGTGCTACGTGTATGGGGTCTCTGTCTGCACAACTTTCTGACTTGGAACGAGACACTCACCTGGCCTGGAGTTCTGGTCACTTCTGTCACCGTCATGGCTGCTTCTTCCCTCTCCTGCTTGAAACTCTTCTCTTGGGCAAGGCAGCTGCTTGGCCTCCTGTCTGGAGGCTCCCTAATGCTGGTCTAAGATTCTGGAACATTCTGAGGTATCTCCCAGCTCTGGTGAAGTCACCCGTGGGATCTTCTTTCAGCAAGTTCCTGATCTGAGCTGAGTGCCTTGTCCTTACTCCTGAGGTCACCGTCTGTAATCATATGTAGAAAATCCAAATGTTACCTGTTTGCTTTGCAAAGAAAAGCCATGGAAATAAAATGCAAGCCTACCACCAGGGATGGATGAAATAAACCATGACATATAAAACAGCAATGAAAAATGAAGTTATAGAAAAGTAATTAATGATCACACTTTTTTTAAAAAGCAGGTTATGAGGGGCGCCTGGGTGGTGCACTTGGTTAGGCAGCTGACTCTTGGTTTCGGCTCAGGTCATGATCTCAGGGTCCTGGGATGGAGCCCCACGTTGGGTTCCATGCTCAGCAGGGAGCCTGCTGGAGGCTGTCTCCCTCTCCCTTTGCCCCCGCTCACATGCTCTCTTTCTCACCCTCTAAGTAAATCATTTTTTTTAAAAAGCAGGTTATGAAAAACAGTGAAATTATGAAGTACTTCATAAGGAGAGAATACCTCCAGGTTATTGTACAAACCTGGGGAGAGGATGAGGAAAAGGCAGGGGACTGAAGTGTGGGGATGGCGGGGGGGCGGGGCGCGGCGGAACAGGAAGGGAATTCTGAGAAGGCTGGGAAGAACTTGGGCTCTCCTAGCCATGCAGCAATAGGTGTGGGAGGCGGGCAGCTGAGGAAGTTGCCCAAGGGGCCAAGGTTAGTGTCCTCCGAGGAGGTGCATCCTGGGGTCGAAGCTTGAGGTAAGTGCAGAAAGCGGGGCCCAGGCAGAGGGGTGGAAAGCTGGATTTGAGTGTGTGGTCCCGTGTTGGTCAAAGAACTCCGATACATCATAATAATTTTAAAAAAAACTTGTATATGTAGGCACTTTATAGTTTACAAAGCACTTTCTCCTCTTTGATGTTTACAGATGCACGCAGCGGAGCCAGGACCTGAATCCAGCTAGTTCCAGCCCTCACTGTGCTGGGCTATGCTGCCCAGCTGCCCTTTACGAGCATGGGCAGTGAGAGGCTATAAAAGCTTAGGGCCAAGGAGGTCTTACACTTTACGACTGGAAGGGCCCAAACACTGAGCCATTAGAACAGATGTTGGTCTCATCTGGAGATCCAGAAGCCTCTTGTAAGACCAGGCAAAAGCCATTAGATGCTGGACCCCAGGAAGGTCCTGAGGGCCGGGGGGGGGGGGCGGGGGAGAGTCGCTGGGGTGGCTAAGGAGGCTGTCCACACCAGAATTCAAATAGCTTTATTTGAATAGCTTTATTTGAATTTGAATTTTTATATTGAATTCACCAGAATAAAGTGACCACACCAGAATTCAAATAGCCTAATACTATGTCCAGTGTAATGAAGGACACCCAGCTGTGGCAGAGGGACCGGTGGAAGACTGAGATTCTCTGCTGTGCTCCAATGAGTTCAGCACCTCTTTGAGTTCTGGACATAAGGTCTCATGCTAGTCTGAGATCACACCCCACTCCCAGCACAGGTCTGCAAGCTATCATGTTCTGTCTGCCTTTTCAACACAGGGGTGCCCAGGAAAAAGATCAAAGACCGTGATATCCTCCCCAGAAGATGCTGCCTCTTACCACTGGTGTGGAGGGTGTGGGGTTCCCAACACGTGTGAACTGGGGATCAAGTGGCTGAAGCTGGTGATGTGTGGTGATTTCTGTGCTGGGGAGGGAGGGCGCTATCTCCCCCCCAGAAAACTTCCTGTCCTGGAGACAGTTAAGAAAATTGGGAGCCTTAAAGGAAATAAAGGTAATTACTTGCTTGTCTTTTCTTTTCTTTTTTAGATCAAAAAATGTTGGAGCTTGTAGGGTCCTAGAACTCTCTGAAGTGCTGATGGGCTAGGTCTTGGGTGGGAGGCTGATTACCTGGCAGCATGGTCCTCTGCCTCTGGCTTCAAGGTCAGAATTCTGTCCTGCTTTTGAAGGACCTGGGGGCACTGGACACAGCCCCCCTCATTGCGGTGCTCTTTCTTGACGGGAGAAGTCCCCAAGGAGGCTCACTTGTGCCGTGTGAGGCTTATGTTTCAGAGAAACTCTGAGCTGCTTCATATTTCAGAAACTTTCTGAAACACAGTAACATGAAATAAAACCCCTTGATTATGGTCCTTTTCAACACCGCTAAAGAGAGTAAAATAGTACAACGCCATCTCAGGTATCCCGTACCATTCTTGTCTCTCTCCAGCCGGCCACGCTGGGTATTTTTTCAGCAAATCTCAGACATCATTTCGACCATAAAACCTGCAGTATGTGTCTCTAAGACTCTTTTCCTTTTTAAAACATAACCGCAACAGCCTTTTCACAACCAGAAGTTTTAAACAGTAACTCTGCCATATTGCCAATCAATGTTCACATCTACCAGATTTTAAAAAGCCGCACAATTGATTCTTAGACTCATGATCCAAATGAATTTATAGGTTGTATCTGGCTGATAAGTCTCCTTATCTATAGGTCCACTTCCCTCTTTAAAAAAAAAAAAAAATTTTTTTTTTAAAAAATCTTGTACTTTTGTATTTCAGCTGGCTGTCGTTAGAACGAAATGACACTTAACCGATGTCTGGGCGCCTGCTCTGTGTCAGGCAGGGCGCTCTGTGCTGCAAAGAAAGGCGTGAGCGGACAGACTAGGATCTGGCCTCGCTTTGGGGCAAACCACGGACTCTGTCTGGGCTTCGGTCCCCCCTAATCTAGCAGAAGAGACTGGACCAAGCGCTCCTTCGAGGCCACGCTCTGATGCGGCTCTCAACGCCGTGACCAACCCACTGTGCGAGCCTCTGCAAAACGCCTGCCAGATACCTCCCCTGGAGCCCGGGCCCACACCCTGCCTTTCCGGGCGACCGCCCGCCTGCCTGGGGTCCCGGAGGCCGAGGAAACGCGGAAGGAGCTCCCCCGGACGCCGCCAAGCTCCGACCGGACCGCGATGGCGAGCGGTAACGGCCACCGCTCGGAACTCGGCGCACGGACCCGGCTCCCGCCCAACTACAATTCCCAGAGGCTTCTGCGGCGAGCCGGTCACCATGGAGACCAGCCGGGCTCGTCGGCTCTGCAACGGTCGGTGGCCTGGGCCTGCGAGGAGCTGTGCGCGGAACAGTTCCCAAAGCTTTCAGACGGGCCGGTCACGTGCCCCCACCACCCAGGCCTTGGTTCTGCGGCCCGAGGAGACGGAGTCCTTACACCGAACCAAGGCCATGGGAGGACGGAACTACATTTCCCAGAAGGCCGCAGGCGCACTCCGCTTCCGGTCGCTCGGCACTGAAAAGGTAACACCGAGCTGTTGCCAAAGGAGTCAAGTCCTGGGTATTTGGGCTCCTGAAGCCCGTGAACAGAGGAGCGGGAGACAGAGAAGATGGACAGAGGAGGAAAGGATAATGGGGAATTTGGTTACAAAGCAACATTAAAGATCGCATCCCCTCCTGTTTACCTTTTCCACGACGCTCAGGGCCAGCGTGGGCATCGCACAGCTCTCTGGGAAATGCAGGGGACGCTGCCCTAAGGCCTATGGGAAATGTAGTCACTGATTAACTCACTTCGTTGAGCACCTGCAATAAACCGGGCACGCTGAAAATAGGGGGTTAAACTCGCCTTCTTCCTTCTTGTCCACTCAAACACAAATTTTACTTCCTAAATACTTACGGAACCTGTCCCATTTTCTTCATGCCAGTCGCCGATGCTGTGTTTCAGACACTCTGGATTTTCTTGTCAACCTGCTCTCAGGCATGTTCCCCTTAAGTCGTCTCTCCACGGGGCCACCAAAGTAATCATTCCTGCTCTGCTTAGGGCATTTCAGCGGCTAATAGACTCACGTCCACGTTCCTTGCTGGTATATATTTGACCTTACTCTCTCGTGCTAGTCTTTTCATACGTAAGAACCATTCTTTTTAGAGTCATCTCGTTTGCGATTGATACCTTAAAACTATTGTCACCATTTTAAAAAAATGCAAAGCACAACTTCCTGCTTTGAACAGTTGCACCGCCAAAAAGGATGATCAATTCCCAGTGTCGTTGTATTTGCAAAATATCCTTGAAAAGTACTTGAAGTAGGTTCCTGTAAGTAGAAACCAAGTCATTCATACTCTGACAAAATTAGAATTCCTCTGAACAAAATATTTCGTTGCGTCACATGGGTAACACACCTAGGTGTTTTCCAGGCCTTGTAAAGTCACACAAAAGAGAAAAGGATGGTTCTTGTATAAAGTACTTATCACAAAACTCCAGTTAGACAATAATGTAAAATAGAGAAGTTATTTTGCATAGCACTTTGAATGTCTAAGATCTAAAATTACGCCCCATCCGAAGAGCTGCTTCAGTGTGGGGTAAATCTGCACTGAGGCTTTCGAGAAAGGAGGCATACTTTTAAAAGCTATCAGAATGCTTAGATAGGAATGAACTGCAGAAAGATAGAGGAGGTGTTGCTCACATCAAAGCACTATGAACTTTCCTTTTGAAGTGGGAATACTTGGCAGACATAGCATTTCCATTGGCTTTTAACTTTGGTAGGAAGAATGGCCAGTATCATAAATGTAGAGAATTATTTAACTGATAAAGCAGTTTCAAAGTCACATTAAAAATGTGTAATCTGTTCTTAACATTCAAAAGCAGAGTTTCCTCCTTCCTCACTAATTTAATCTCTTTGGGTTTGGTTTTTAAAAATGGGGATCCTTCATTTGTTGAAGGAAAGAATACATTTGTTGAGAAAGTATCAGCCAAGGCCAGGATATTCTCAACCATCAGGTGGGGAAGGCTGAGGTCAAGATCTAGAAGAGTCATAGTTCAGAGTAATTTTCTTGAGTGGTGCAGTTACTTTTTTAATTGGTATTTTAAAAAACTCTCATAGGTCTTCAGTTACTAGCAAATCTCTGCTCTTTGCTATAACAATTTAGCTACCCTTGTGGTATATGGGTCTTCTGGTGTTCCACAAAAAGTGTAATGATCCCCAGGAGCTTCCCTGAGCAATCTGGAGCTGTGGACGTTCAAGTTGTGATGTTAAGTGACTAATTCGTGGTTTTCTTTACAAGTTTCAGTAATACTCCCTGATTTGATTGGTTTCAGAAAATATGATGATGCTAGTTCTATCTGCAACATATGTGGAAACCATTTTCTGGGTGGCTCGGCTTCAAGAATGGCTCTTTGCCCGTTGCTGTCCTTGTTGCTTTACTAGGGGTTCAGTCTCAGGGGTGACGTTCTCGGCCATGTTCATCTGTGGACTCATTTTCCTGCCCAGTTACCCCAGGACAGGGGAAAGAACAGGGGCATGGGGGGCCAGTTTGGTCCCTGTCCCTAACTTGCTGGGTCATCTCAGACTGATCATTTGTCATCTCCCCTAACTCCCCCTTCCCCCGAGCCTGCTCCTCTTCCATTAGCGCCTCAGGTACCATTCACTGAGGCTGAATTCCAGCCCCCAAAGATCTCAGGACCCAACCTCTGGAACATGTGAGTGTTGTTTCTTTAGTTGGAAAAAGGGTCTTTGCTGATGTGATTAAGTTAAGGATCTTTAGATGGGGAGATTATCCAGTTGGGCCCTTAATGCAATTATAAGTGTCCTTACAACGGAGAGTCGAGGGCGGTTTGAGTCAGATACACAACGTGAAGATGGAGCAGAGAAAGATCTGAGGATGCTGGCCTTAAAGACTGGGGCGATGCGGCCACAAACCAAGGAATGGTAGCAGTCACTTCTACACGTGTCCTTCCCATCCAGCTCTCACGCTGCCATCAGAGTTTATTTCTAAAGTGGAGACCTGACCACATTAACCGGCAGGGATGATTCTTCAGTGGCAACTCAGACCCTAACTCCTTGGCCTGGTCTGAGAGGCCCTTCACCAACTGACCACTCATCTTCTCTCTGCCACCCACACCTCCCGCCACTCAGAGACACCCATCCCCACTCCCTCCCCCCCGTCACCCTCCCCGCCATGTCACTCAGTCCCACACGGACTGCACACACATTCACTGGAGTCATGCTGAACTACTGAGTTTCCCCTGTGACCAGGCTCTTCCATGCTTCTGCGGCTCTCATGTGCATTGTCCCATCTGTGATACAAAGAAAGTAATCTCACCATACGCTAGCACACGCATGGCAAAAATCACATTGTGCAGTTAGAAAATGGTATGAAATGAGAAATCAGACCTAGGATGCCAAGACCAGCAACTTTACCCTTCCCTCGAAAGGGCTGATGGTTGAAACCACCTTCCTAAGATTTCACATTCAATCATATTTATATCCCAAATCATGCATTTCAGTATTGTTAAAAATGTCCATCAATAAAAAGGTAATATTTCAACATGAATGGTTATTAAAATGATCTAGTATAAAATTGTAACATAAATGGTTATGTGGAATAATTTGCAGCTATGAACAAGAATAGAGCAGCTCTGTATTTACACAAACTCCTAAGATAAAAAGTGAAAAAAGCAAGTTGTAGGAAAATGTGAACAGTTTGCTATCATTTCCATTCACAAAACACATTTGTACATGCACAGACTGTGTCTGGTAGAATGTGGAAGGTAAGTAGCTTCTTCTTTTTTTTTAAGTAGGCTCCATGCTGGGCATGGAGCCCAACCACTGGGCTTGAACTCACGACTGAGATCAAGACCTGAGCTGATTATCAAGAGTCGGACACTTAACCCACTGAGCCACCCAGGCGTCCTGGTAAGTGGCTTCCTGAGAGGGAATGGGTTTCCAGGACAGGGAAGACAGACTTCTTCATTGACTCTCCCCTTAGAACTTGTGCACACATGGCCTATTCAACTGCAAATCTTTTTCTCTATTCAAGTCCTTACAAGGGTTGCACTCTGGCCCCTAATGTAAATGCATGCTGCTGGGGTTAATTTTTCTGTTGAACTCTTGGCTTCTCATCAACAATCAGATAAAAATAATTCCTTTCTGTTCTGGAGCTGTATTCTGCAGACCAATTATTATTACTGCCGCTGTTACGTAAAGATGATTTGCCACAGTTGGCCTTGAGGCTATTCTGTGTTCCTTCCACATGTTCCCACCGAGAGCAGGTCAGAAGGAAATTAACCTGGACTTAAAATGTGCTTGCAGGTAACCAGGCAGTTGGCTAAGAGGTGACTGTAGTTCAATCTAAATTTACCAGGACGTTGGCATTATTAGCAAATACCACTCTCTGACAGACTGCCCACACAGCTCCATTTCAGCCTCCTCCTTGTCAAAGTGAAGAGCACCCACGCCTATTGATTCATCTCTCTTAAGCGTCTCTACTTTTATCTCACTCGCACTGGAAAAGACCTACATCTAACTTTTGATCTACTTAATGTGTTTTCAGGCTGGCTATGTTAAAAAAATTCCAAAAATAGGGGCACCTGGCTGGCTCAGTCGGTAGAACATGCAGCTCTTGATCTTGGGTTGTGAGTTCAAGCCCCATGTTGGGCCTAGAGCTTACTTAAAAAAAAAAAGAATCCAAATATAAAAATTATGGATGAACAAATTCCTAAGATTAAAGCAAACTCACTTGTACCATAAGCTATAAACTCACCATATTTGCTTATTCTGAGCATCAACACTTTTGATGGTTTTTACAAATTAAGTGTTAGGACGATATAACATTGTTTTTACATATATTACCTGAAGGAATACTTAAGAATTAAGTTCCCCTGAGATCATAAAAAACTTTTTAGAAGATGTTATGTGTATTCTACCTTCCAAGCTGATAAGGATGTCCAGATATCAAGGATATTTAAATAAAAATAAAATCTTGGAGAGGTTAAATGCTGATCTTCCTCAAAAATATCCTAGGTGGGGGTGCCTGGCTGGCTCAGTCAGTGAAGTGTGTGACTCTTGATCTCAGGGTTGTGAGTTCGAGCCCCACATTAGGTGTGGAGATTACTTAAAAATGAAATCTTTGAAAGAAAGATATCCTAGGTGAATTGTACACTAATGTTTCAGCAAATTATTTACAATAACCAACAGAAGAACAGATAAACAAGATGTAATCTGTCCATACAATGGAATAGTATTCAGCCCTAAAAAGGAAGGGCATTCTGACATCTGCTACAACATGGATGAAACTTGAGGACATTCTGCTCAGCGAAATAAGCCAGTCACAAAACTTAAAATACTGTATGATTCTACTTTTATGAAGTCCCTAGAGTAGTCAAATTCAGAGAGACAAAAAGTAGAATGGTGGGTGCCGGGAGTTGGGGGGAGGGGGAATGGGGAGTTAGCATTTAATGGGTACAGAGCTTCAGTTTGGGATGATAAAAATGTTCTGGAGATGTAGAGTGAAAAATGGTTAAAATGGCAAATCTTATGTATATTTTACGCCAAGTTTAAAAAGGGTAACAGGATTGTTAAATTAAAAAATTATCCTTAAATTAAAAAATAAACTTCTTTGTAGGTTTATAACAAGAATACTGCATCTCTTACTACTGTAACTGGGATAAGATTTGAGAGTACCCTACCTGCTATATTCTCGATTGCCCTGAAAATCCTGTTTTTCTACCAGGAAGCTGAGAGTTGAGGATGGGCCAGACAGGCCAGCTGTGGCAAGGAATGCAGTGGTCCTGCCATAGAGATCCCCAGAGATCTCGGATGTATGGAGGACACAGGTGGTTCTCAGAGATGCGCAGGGCCAGGCCCAGCCAGGATATGGCGGAGTCAGCCTGGGACCCATGGTTCCACGGGGAAAACCCATGCCATTGGCTGTACCAGTCCTGAACTTGACTGGAGATGGCCAGTAGGGTGGCAAGTGACATCCTGAAAGAGGTCAGGAAGGGCACCAGAGGACCTGGCCCTTGAATAGCTGCCCCAATATTAGCACAAACCCTGTCCGATCACCCTGAGGCCATCTTGGGGAAAAGGGTGAGGAAGTAGACCGTAACCTTGAATTGATGAAATATTTACCCCAGAGACTGAACTAATGTGGAAACTTTTAAGTTGCAAGAGACAGAAAAACAGTTGATTCTCACTATGCACGGTCCTTACATTCTGTAAAGTCACCATGCGCACTGGATGAGGGAATAGCAAACCACTGCTTCTGGGGAAATACAGGGTTACGTTCCTGTGCACCTCTGATCCCAGTTTCATCAGCCATCAATATGCAACCTTGTTTTATGGACGCTTCTATTTAAAGACACCCTATTCAATATGCGTTGTTGATTTCATCGACATTGAACTCACAGCCAGCTGCACTGGAACTTGTGCTGGAAAGAGGCTTCTCTGAAGCATCAGTTTTCTCCGTAAGGCACATCCCAGCCTTTTTGCACTTTGGAACATTAGCCAGCTTTTCCCACGCCACATTTGGGGGTCATTTTAAACAGCAAAACCACTCACGAAAAGCACAGAAATGTGAAAATGCGGCACCCAATAGGCTGTGACAAGGACACTTGATAGTATGAGAGGTGAAACAAGAAGGCAGAGGGTGGCCTTGTTCAGCCTCAGCTGGAAACATGCGTGACCGGTGATCCAAATTTTTTGCCATTCTGAATAACTGAAAGCGCTGTGAGTATTGATCTGGGGGTTACAAATCAGTTTGAGCCAGTAGGCAAATTTGCAAATGCAGAGCCCATGAAGGAGGCTCAATTGTATCCTCATTTGGCATCAAATGTGGTCTAGGTCCCCTCCTTATCTAGGAGGAGGGGACCATGAGATTTAGACCAATTATGGAAAATGGAAGACTCTATCATTTTTCCCCCATATCTAAGGTGTAGGACTTAAGTGTTGGACTCTACCTCCCTGTTATTTAGAGGAACAGAATGGCAGCTCCACGAGGGGGCGGATTTTTATCTGTTTTGCTCATGCTATATATCGTCAGCAGCTAGAACAGTGTAGCACGACGCGTCAGTATTTGTTGAATGAACTAAGCAATGAAAACCACCTTCAAACCAACACACAGGAATTAAACTTCTGCCGAATCATTTGGTTCTGACAGTTACAATTCCACAATTTTTGTCACTTGACGTATATGAAGAGGAAAGAAAAACAGCTCAGTTTTCCAGCTCTTGGAGAGGTTTGGGGCAAAGGAATGAGAATGCAATAAGAGGATTTTCTCATCTGAACTAAGGACAGGGAATAAACGGTACGAGTCAACTCCCTGGCTGACCCGGCCTTAAGAGCAGATAAGGAAAATCTCTTCTATAGCCACAGGGAGAAGGTCGCATCAGTAGCCGGGTAAGATTCCAGATCTGCCTGGGGAACAAGGTGACCTCATGTGCGATGTGGAAGAGTCCAGGTGAAGGCTGCTTAGGTGATAATTGACATCTCCTCCCGGTCTCTGCTTTCAGACACTGAGTTGATTATGCTTTTTAAATACTTTATGAACTCCAACCTGATCTCTTCAGGGTCATCCTCAAGATTCGAGTGCACCAGCTTCAGCTTGCTCAAGGGGGGCGCTTAAAAAGGAAAGTAAATTAGGCATGAACTTTTAAGGAAGGGCCCTTTCCAGCTCCCAATGACCTGAGTCTTATCAAAGCCAATTTGTTGACCTCTCTAGAGGCCAAAAATAAAGTGGGGTCTTGTCTGCCATGATTTAACAGAGGAAGAAACGTTTCACCACGTGCCACTGCCGATGCGCTCAGCATCGTGCTCGGCATACGGCAGGTGCTCAATAAAGAATGCCACCACACTGTCACCTGGTGGTGGGATAGCAAAACTATAAGCCACTTCCAGGTCCTCTTCTCACACCAGAAAGGAAGAGATTTCTGAATATTGTGAGTCGTCTTCCATGAGCACTTTGTCACTCTGTCATGGTGTGTCACAGGCTAATTGGGAGATTTTCTTGAGACAAGACCAGTCAGGAAAGAATGTCCCTAATTGTACTGGTGAGTGGCTAAAATCAGGTTTGTTTTTTTTTTTTTTCCCGTCTTGGTGTCTGCCTGCTTTCAAAGTGTCTCTGTCCTGGCCTGGATGCTATGACAGATCTTCCAACCTGGCGATTCCAATTTACATGGTAGGAAGAACAAAGGCCAAGGACAGAGTAAGTGCTCAATAACTGCACAGAGCCTCTGGTTTCTAAAGACACGAAATAATATACAAATGCCCAGACCACTCAAGACAAGAGCTGAAAGGAGAAATGGCAGTTTCCTTACACAAAGTCAGGTGTCCTTTATCACTTCCGGAGCCTGGTTTGTGGTGCGCGATCAACAGACACCGAGGGTCCTGTAGGAACTGCTGCTGGACGAAGCAGGAATACCACATCTCGATTTCCTTCAGGTGGCTCGGGAGGTCGGCATTGAAGATGATCACCACCCCGTGCGCGTCCTTCATCAGGGCTGGCCAGCAAGACTCGAACCTGTAAGACAGAGAAGGAGGCACGGTGACTGTCAGGTGGCTCTGGTTTCTAGCTGAGGCCTTTAGAAATAACGTCTTAGGGTTAATTGATGGATGACTTGTCATTGTGTCAAGTTTCAAAAGCCACACATGTCACCAAATAATCGATCACTCCCCTAATACATGCTAGGAAGTGTGCTGGGCCAGAGGCCAAGGTGCTTGGCGGGCAGCTGAGTCTTGAATAATTTGATGAAGCCAACCCTCTTTAAAGGAAACGTACTTTGGATCACCGCCACAATCCCATAGCTCAAATTCACACCCCGTGCCTTTGGCGTTGCTGGTCACGTGTGGGTTCTCAAATTCCAGGATCCTAGAAATAAAACAATAGCAGCATCTCCACTTTGGGAACAGTATACTTTGGGAATGCCACCGTCCCCAAAAGGGGGGTGGTGGGCCTCTCTGGGAAACAGATTTGTCGGGGCTCACCTCACTCCTTGGGTTGGGTTGTATTCGGTGATGTCAGAAGATTCTGTCAGGAAGTTGGCCAAAACGGTTTTTCCACTCTGTGGAAATGAAGATAATAAAAGGTCTTTGCTGAAGAGCTGAAAAGTAAACCATAAACGTGCCCTCCAATAGCTGGCTTGGAACCAGGTGTGATGGCGTGTAGGCCATGGCCACCCCGAGAGCACCAAGGCAGAGGGTTCTCTCTGGTTGGGCGGGCCTCGCTGCCTTCCTGTATTTGGTGGGCGCAGTCTGGTCTGGGACCCAGCATGCACGGGGTTTTAAAGGTCTAACTGGGTGACCTTCTTACCCACACTGATTTCCCTGGCTGGCTTTCAGTTAACTTATCTGAGAACAGAAAAGAATTGTTAGCGTTGAGTCTCTCTCCTTTTTCTTTTTTTTAATTTAAAAAAAAATTTTATTTCCTTTTTTTTTTTTTAAGATTTTATTTATTTATTTGACAGAGAGAGACAGAGCGAGAGAGGGAACACAAGCAGGGGGAGTAGGAGAGGGAGAAGCAGGCTTCCCGCCGAGCAGGGAGCCCCATGCGGGGCTTGATCCCAGGACCCTGGGATCATGACCTGAGCCGAAGGCAGACGCTTAACGACTGAGCCACCCAGGTGCCCATCGTGAGTCTCTCTCCTGCCATGCTCCTCTGCACATCAAGAAACCAGTCTGTCACAGATACGAAGCCACTGAGGTCCAGAAAGGGGAAGGGAGTTCCTCAAGGTCACAGAGAAATTCAGGTTCAGAGCTGGGTCCCACAGTGGCTGGCGGTGCCACACTCTCGCACAGGGCTGTTTCTCCTTCTAGAAAATACAAGTCATACACGGTCCTATTAACAAAACAGCCCTCCTGGTCCCTCCGCCCAAAGTAGCCATCTGTCCATCCATTCCATTCCCTCCCCAAAGGTGAAAACTGTGATCTGTTTTCAGATATTTTCTGTACATTTGCATCGTTCATTTAGCGAATATAGTATATGCTCGGATGTAAGATAAGGCGTTTTTTCTCTGCAAATTCCTCCTCAGATGAAAGGGAATCTCTTACACTTGAGTCCTCAAAAATCTCTGAAATTATGTCCTGCTCTCTCAAGAACTTTATTTTGAACAACTGCTTGACTAGAATCATTTCAACCAATGCCAGTTTTGGAGGCTTGTAGAGGTCACTTGACAGAATCAGGAGAAGGTCGGGGAAGGGGCTTAATCTTGCTTTAGTAATTCTTCCTGAGCATGCAGCCTCACTTAAAAATAACACAGTTGAGGGGCGCCTGGGTGGCTCAGTCAGTTAAGCTGGTGGCTCAGTCAGTTAAGCATCAACCTTTGGCTCAGATCATGATCTCAGGGGTCCTGGGATCAATCCTGGCGTCAGGCTCCCTGCTCAGTGGGGAGTCTGCTTCTCCCTCTCCCCCTGCCCCACCCCAACTAAATAATCTTAAAAAAAAAAAAAAAACTACGGTTGAGTGGTTATGTTTGTGGAGACCATGGATATTTATCTATAGGATGAACGAATAAAGCAAATGACCTGATGTAATAGGAATGGTTCTTTGGGGGTGCCTGGGTGGCTCAGTCGTTAAGCACTTGCCTTCGGCTCAGGTCATGATCCCAGGGTCTGGGATCGAGCCCCGCATTGGGCTCCCTGCTCTTCAGGAAGCCTGCTTCTCCCTCTCCCACTCCCCCTGCTTGTGTTCCCTCTTGCTGTGTCTCTCTCTGTCAAATAAATAAATAAAATCTTTAAAAAAAAAAAAAAAAAGGAATGGTCCTTTGGGCTGGAATACATTTCTAGGAACAGGGTCATACACATTCAAAAAGTGCTTATATACTAAACTACTCAGATGGTATGCTTTGTCTTGTTCTTTTTTTTTTTTTAAGTTTTATTTATTTAAGTAATCTCTACACCCAGTGTGGGGCTCAAACTCATGACCCTGAGATCAAGAGTCACACACTTGTCCAACTGAGCCAGCCAGGTGCCCATCATGTGGTTTAAAAGTGGCTCTGGTCATAAAATCAACTCAGGTGTCAAAGGTGCAGGTGAGGAGCTTAAATTTTAAAGCTGTGTCATGAAATGCAAGTACGGAATAAAACAGCATTTCTAAATTAATATGTATCTTTAGGGTACCTTTAAATGTATATATAGCTACATGAATACATAAAACATTATAGAAGTATATTTATATATTTCATCTATGCCCTTAAATTTATATATACATGTTGGTCAAAACCAATTGATTGAGGGGGAGGGTTCTTCTGGGAAAATGAAGAAACTGTGAGGCACATCAGGTATTTTTAAGTGTCTACCTTGCCTGGAGCTGTTGAACACAAGATGAAGTAGTGCTAAGCACGAGGATAAAAATCAAGTGGGGGGCGCCTGGGTGGCTCAGTCGTTAAGCGTCTGCCTTCGGCTCAGGTCATGATCCCAGGGTCCTGGGATCGACGTGGGAAGCCTGCTTCTCCCTCTCCCACTCCCCCTGCTTGTGTTCCCCTCTCTCGCTGTGTCTCTCTCTGTCAAATAAATAAATAAAATCTTTAAAAAAAAAAATCAAGTGGGATAATGCCATAGGGACTTTGAACTGGGTGGTCAGGGAAGGCTGAAAGGGTGAAGTTTAAACCGAGATTTGAATGACAAGGAGTCAACCGAGCCTGGCGAAGAGAATAACTAGTTGGATGGCACCAGGCCAGGAATGGGCCCAGCATGCTAAAGGAATAGAAAGGTTGGCCAATCTGCAGAGTATTGAGGTAGAGGAGGATATGTGTATGCGGAAATATATTTTGTTGTTGAAGCTGGGTGATGAGTACTAGGAGTTCCTTGTTTTTTCTCCCTTTGTATGTTTGAGAATTTCCATGAAAAAAAAGAGAAGATATTTATGCTTGGTTTACTTTTCACAATTCTGTGCATATTGTTATTACTTGTCTATTTCACTTACTAGTTTATGTCTTGGCAAGACATAAACTTGACATGTTCTCCATGTCACTCCACACAGATGTGCCTCCTTTTGGGTAACGCTGGAGTCTTCCCCGGTAGGAATGTCCCTAGTTTATTTAGACATTCTCTTATCGATGGGCATCTAGGGTGTTTCCAGTTCAATATCTTTCAATACCCCCTCTGGGGAACATAGGTAAGTGTCCAGCTACCGTAGATTTTGAGAAATGTAAGTGTTGCACTGAAAGCTATGCATGTTTTAAAGTTTAATAATTGGATTTGCCAATAAAGCTGTTAGCAATGTATAGTCCCATCAACAGAATCCTAAAGTACTCATTTCCCAAGCATCCTCATGCTTCATGTTATCAGTGTTCTAACCTTTTTTCACCTGCTACAATGGGCAAATAAGCTTCATCTTCTTGTTTTAATTCATGTTCTTGTCGACTGTTGAGGCTGAACATCCTCTTATACTTATTGGCTGGTTGTACTTGGGTCCAGGGACTTCGCTTGATTTTCTATTGAGTTTTTTATTTTACCAATTTTTAAACTTCCCCTGTGCGTTCTACCCGTTAATTCTTTCTTTGTAATGTATTTTGCAGATGCTTTCCCCAGGCTTACTTTCGCTGTCATTTCTTTTAGGCTTCTTCATTTTTTGTGTTGTGCTTGAGGAGACTTTCCCTGTCTCAAGCTGAATAACATTATCTCTCCATACACGCATCTACTACAGTGGTTCTCAACGCGTGGTCCCTGGACAAACAGTATCGGTAAAAGGCAGATTCTCGGATCCCTCCCAGACCTACTGAATCAAAACTCTGGGGCAGCACTGGCATGTTGTGTTTTTCACAAGCCCTCCAGGCAACTGGGATGCGCGCTTAAGATGGAGAATATTCACTATTTCTACGGTAGTTGTTTTACACATTTAGCTTTAGTCCATGGGAATCTTATTCCTTTGTATGATGTTAAGTCCACAGATAGGTTTAATCCCCCCACCCCCCCCCCCAAACCAGGGTCCTCCCCTCTGCCCACAACACCCAGTGCTCCATGCAGAACGCCCTCGCCTCAATACCCACCACCAGGCCAACCCTTCCCCCCCCCCCCCCCCACCACGCACACTACGAGGGAACCGTTCAAAGACCATGTAATAGTCCAATCTTTCCTCTCCTTTTCTTGTCCCACAGGCATGTTCATTAGGGCCGACCTCAGGGGCAAAGGAGAATCGTGGGACCTAGACTCTGGTTCCAAAACGCCACTCACTACTTTCAGGACTTACGAAAACGGGGTCAAGGTCTGGGGGCGCCGAGTTCACGCTGAGGCCAGCGGCGCACACCGGGAGGGCGCGGTGGGACAGGGCTCCCGACTCCTGGGGGCGCTCCCGGCGCAAGGCACAGTCCCGGGTCGCCCCGCGCCCGCCTCGGCCCCCTCCCGCCGCCCTCGCCGGCCGGGCCTCACCTCGCAGGGCCCCACGAAGAGAATCTTGGCCTTCAGCATCGCGGTCTGCCGCCCTCAAGCTGGTGGGAGCCCACCGCTGCCCGGAGGAGAGGAAGCCACCGCGCCGATCGGCAGCCTTCGTTTCCACGGCGACGGGGGCGGCCCGCGGGGGCCGACGGGAGTGGGCGGGGCCGCGGCGCGGGGCCTGGAACGGAAGGGCCGCGGATGGGCCGGCGGATAGGCGGGCGGATCGGCCGGCTCCTCTGGCTTGGCGGCTTGGACTTTGGGGCTGGAAGCGGGCGTGCAAGGCTAGAGGGAGGGTGGAAGGGAAGCAAAAAACCCGGATCCAGACTCGCTTCTGACCCGGGAGGACCGCAGAGCTCACACAGGCCGCCTCTCTCTCTTGGTAGGTTGGGGGCTGATGGCAGGTCCCTGATCTATGCGCCTCCCTGTAATCCCGAGAACTCAGACTGGCCATGTAGCTGGTGAGCTGGGTTTGGGAGCAGGCCTTCTGACGCCTTCGTCACTCTGCCACGGCACTGCCCACCCTGTGATCGGGTTTATCACGGCCCTGGCCCAATCTAGAAAAGGTCAGAGACAAAACGAGTCTCGGGTCTCCGAATGGGTTCACCACTGATCGTCCTTTGGGTGATCTGGGGAGAAACCCAAAAGGACAATGCCCAGCATAGTTCAGTGTCGGTGCAGATGTCTGGGCGCTTCGCTGCAAAGTTCATTCATTAGTTCAGCCTTAAATTGCGGAGCCGGTCCAGGATTTCAGGAGAGGCCATGAAATTAAGTGTCCAGACAAAATTTGCTAGCCCCAGAAAGTGCTGGTATGACAAAAACGCCAAAATAACCCCAACACCGTGTCTTTAACTTTTAGTGGATAGTTACATAGTCTTTGTATTACAAACAAGGGGTGAAGTGTAAGGAAGAGTCTACCTCAATTTCAAGATGTCATGAATTGACTGATTGATTAAATGAATATCCTTCAAATGCCTACTTCGTACCAGGCACTCTTCCAGGTACTGGGATTTACCTGTACCTCTGGAAGCTTTCATTCCAGGGGAGCCGATGGACATTAACTAAGCAAGAAAATAAATAACATACTCTCGGGCAGAGACTGTTTTAGTTAGTGGTAAGTGCTATGAATAAAGATAAATTACTAAAGAGTTAAGGAGTGTGAAGGAACCAATTTTGGATGAGGTAGTCAAAGCAAGACCTTGGGACAGAGGTGACATTAAAGTAGAAAGCTGAGTGAAGCGAGGGCTCAAGCAAACTGCGAAAGATCTCGAAGAAGAACATGCCGGAACAGCAAGGACAAAGGCACTGAGGCAGAAATAAACTTGGCATGTACCAAGAACAGCCCAGAGGGTCCATGAGGCTGGTGCAGGAAGAATAAGGGAGAGTGGTAGGGTATGCTGTTGGAGAGATCGTGTAAGACTTTGGGAATTTATTCTAAGGGTGATGGGAAGCATGTGCGAGGAATTGTATTGGGCTATGTGTAAGAGAAACTCCAGGGCCACCTGGGTGGCTCAGTTAAGCGGCTACCTTCTGCCCAGGGTCCTGGGATCCAGCCCTGCATTGGGCTCTCTGCTCAGCGGGGTGTCTGCTTCTCTTTCTCCCTCTGCCCCTACCCCCTCTCTCCCGTGCTTGCTCTCTTCTCTTGCTCTCTCTCTCAAATAAATAAATAAAATCTTTAAAAACAATAGTTTGGAACCCCAATATGACATGGCTGAAACGCTAAAGTTCATTAGTCAGTGACGCTGCCTGAAATATCAGGTCTAGGGCTAGCTAGCCTGTGATACTGGAGAAATGTAGTGCTTAAAAGCCCTTCATAAATTGGCTCCCACCTATCTATCCGGTCTCATTCCCATCCGCATCTGCTGTGGGTTCTTTCCATCTTCTCATGTCTCTTAAGACTTCAGCGCTATTTCTCCACCTGTCTTCCCAACTCCTCTTGGCCCTTTTGAATGCTCCTTGATGCCTCTGGCCATAATTAACTTCACATAGTGGCTGTTTCCAAAGTGTACCTTTGAAGATTATGTGCTTGAATTCTTGGTTTGGGGTTCTGAAAGAGGAGGAGGAGGGATGCAGTCTCAGTTGATGAAAAATGAAGGTGGAGTGGAAATAATTTGGATGGGGGGACTTTGTATTTTGCTTGGGGATTAATATGACTGAAAGAACAAAACTCTTACAGTGACAAGGTCTGGAGGAGGACAGTCTAGGGAGGGCTTGGCAGCTCAAAAATAGCCTCAGGCACCAGCTTCTTTCTCCTTTTTTCCCCTGCTGTCTTTAGGTTTAATTACTCTTTGGCCTCATGCTTGTTACCTCATAGTCACAAGGTAGCTGCTGTGCCTCCAGGCATCACGTCTGCAATTAAGGAAAGACTGCGGAACAACAAATGCTTTGCCATAGAGTAGTCCTATTTTTTAAAAAAAATCAATGTTATTTAGTTATAAATAACTAAATTTAAAAATAAACATATATTAAAGTGTACCTATTTTAAATGTTCTTTGAGTTTTGAAAAATGTGTAGACTATCATCTTACTCAAGACCCAGAATATTTCCATCACCCCAAAAGCTCCCTCACGTTCCTTTGTGGTCAACTCCCTCCCACCCCTAGCCCCGGGAAACCTTTTGTTATACTTTCTGTCACTAGAGATTAGTTTTGCCTGTACTGGAATTTCATATAAATAGAATCACACAATATTTACTCTTTTGTGTCTGGCTTCCTTCACTCAGGAAACTATTTTTGATATTTATACATATTGTGTATGTCAATAGTTTATTCCTTTTTATTTATCAATAGTTTATTCCTATTTATAGTTTATTCCTTTTTATTGCTGAGTCATATTCCATGTATAAATATACCATCATTTGTTTACCTGTTCACCTGTTGATGGCTATGTGGGTTGGGCTGTCTATAGTTTGGGGGCTATTATAAACACAACTACTAGAAATAGTTTTGTATGGACATGTTTTCACTTACCTTGGGTAGATACCTAGGAACAGAATTGCTGGGTCATGTGATTATATATCTATATCTGTATCAGTTCTTATACCTGCACCTGCATTTCTCTCTCACTCTTTTTTTTTTTCCTGAGAGAGAGAGAGAGAGTGCGTGCATGAGAGCTGGGAGTGGGGGCGGGGAGGGGCAGAGGGAGAGAGAGAATCCTAAGCAGTCTTCATACCGAGCTCAGAGCCCAACGCGGGGCTCAATCTCACAACCCTGAGATCATGACCTGAGCCGGAATCAAGAGTCAAGCACTTAACCAACTGAGCCACTCGGGCGCCCCCGTATTTCTATGTCACACACACACGCACGCACGCTCCTGGTTCCTGATTTCCTATATTATTCACTTGGTTATAATCTATCACCATCATTGTTTATTTGATGCTCAAATAGTCCTTGATTTGGCCAGTGGGAGCCCCCCCTCAGGCTGGTTTCTATGTTCTTTTGAAATCTTTCTTTCTGTGAGCTCTTCTTTACTTTTTGTCACTGTTACATGGTCCCAGGTGGTTATTAGTATCACTTCATAACCACCAAATACTATACACATTCTCCCGTATTTATTTTAAAAAACGAAAAGTTTCAAAAGTCCAAAGAACCTCAAAAACGTTGTTCCCTTTTACACCTAAAAAAATTGGGGGGAATCTCGCCTTCCCCCTTCCCCCAGCTTTTTTGGGCATGAAATATATACTTAGATCTCTGGCTGGGGCTTTGGAAGGACTGGTGCCAGGCACTTAGGTAGGCACTGGGTTCCAGAGATAGATCTGCCTAGTCCCTGCCCCCAGGCAGTTCCTAGTCTAGATGGGAAGACCAAACCTGTATAGTGCTTTTCACCTCATCAAGTGCTTTCCCATATATGATCTCATTTTAATTCACAGTGCGTGAATTAGAACACTGGGTGGCTCGGTCGGTTAGGTGTCCGACTCTTGGTTTGGGCTCAGGTCATGGTCTTGGGGTCCTGGGATTGAGTCCCGTGCTGGGATCTGTGCTCAGTGGGAAGTCAGCTTGAGGATTCTCTCCCTTTTCTTCTGCCCCTCCTCCTGCTTGCTCAGTCTCTCTCTCTCTCTCAAAAATAAAATAAATAAATTCTAAAAAAAGAAAAAGGTGTCATTCATGTTTGGGTCCACTGGACCTAGTTCAAAGCTTGGTACACAGTAGGGGCTCAATAAATGTCAATTCCTCCTCCCTTTCTCCTAGTACACACACAGGCACGTTCGTTTGCTCTATAAATATTTAAGTTAATGAATGTTCCTTTACACTTGCCTTGGGGCTTTCGGTTTTGTTTCCAGGTGAGAGAAAGAAAAAAATGTGAACTGCTTTCCATTTCTTGGATGCATGCACTGTATAAATGTGGGATTATTATTATTGTGGATTACTGAAATACTTTGCTTTATGACTTTCATTTTAATTAGAAGAGGTTGACCTCAGATGGCTTAATACCCAGTCTTTGGTTCTGAAGGGAGCAATATATCATTGGCAGAGCCAGCACTGGAGGATCTAAGAGTAATTTTTCTCCTGATTCTGTGACTTGATGCAATAAAACCTCTTACCTGAAAAAACTTAGGGAAATACATTTGACATATTTCAAATCCTTTCTATAAATTGTTGAAAAGATTTAATATAACTGCTAGTCATAAAATCTTTAATTTGAGTTGACCTTCCACGGTCACAATTCTTACACATGCAGTTTTTATTACTAAAGAATAAATGGTGGATTTCCTGTTATTCGAGGGAATAAAAATGTCCTTCAATCACCTTCTCCTACAGCACCGAGACTGAATGTATTTAGGTCAACTCTCAAAGATAGGAATGATCGCAAAATGGTTTGTAACCTGCAAATGTTCTCTTCTCTGTTATTGCAGGCATCCCTCCTCCTTCTTCTCCTTCTTCTTCTTCCTATTATTTTATTTTACTTTTTATTTTTTTTAAATAGGCTCCACACCCCACGAGATCAAGACCCAAGCCAAGATCAAGAATTGGATGCTTAACCGACTGAGCCACCTAGGTGCTCCATTATTACTACTTTATTATTTTTATTATTATTTTAAAGCTCTAGCCAGGGATGAGGTTCAGCAAGTTTGGTTTAGGGCAAAATCAATACAGTAAAAATTATTTTTCATCAATTCCTGTTAGAAAGCCTGAGCTATGTTCTAA